CGATGGCCTCCAACCTACTAGCGATGGCCTCCAACCTACTAGCGACGGCCTCCAACCTACTAACGATGGCCTCCAACCTACTAGCGATGGCCTATGCCCTTTCAAAAAGTGAATGTAAGGTCCAACAGCATTTGGTGGCAGCTGATCCTGCAAAAGCTGGTGCTAATGACTTTGGTGGCTGGACCGCGCGATTGTGTTGATGACCTCGTATGTGACACCATCGTCAATCTGATCCCATGTCAACTTTTCTCTTGGATTTAATTTGTGCTGTTTACTAGTCTTACTACTCATAGTCTTGTGTAATTCCACGTTAATGCACCAGCTTGGCACATTGGACAAGATGACTACTGTAGACCATCCAGACTGAGTCATGAGTAAATGGTTGCACATGTTATCACGTTCATTTTTTGCTTCAAACCCTCGCTACGTCACCTTTTGGAGCCCATCGCTACGTTCGGGGCTCCTGGCGGCCTTCAGGAGCTCTTGCTGCACAAAATCCCCATGAAGAGTGAGTGCCACTAATGATATTGTTCGCAGTGCTTCTTTGAAACGGAGATGCATTGTGGCCAAAAATTCAGCGCGGAACCAGTGCTGGCAAACCGAGAGGATACAACTTGCACATGGAGTGCCAGTGTTGACTTTTACTTTTACTATCTCTAATCACACGAGCAAAACTGACCATCCAGCAGTTTGATCACTGTTCACGGTTTGATTTTGTGCACTCTGCGGCAATCAATTGCAAGGCCAGTCTTGACTGCTCGTCTCAAGGTATGGTATGATGCCAAATCTACGATCCAGCCAAGGCTAATTGGCTGGCAGGCCCATGGTATTTCAGGAACTGCTATCGTGTGCCGCTCAAAACAAGTGGCACTGCTTGGAACTGCTTCGAGTGTGTGTTAATAGATTTGTGAGGTGAAAACACACGAAGGAGCACAACTAAATGGCCTCCACCCTAGTAGCGATGGCCCCCAACCTAAGAGCGATGGCCTCCACAGCAGCATTCCAAGCAAAATGCTCATATGTGCTTGTCCACCCGGATGTAAAAGGTGCGATATCCCTTATTTATTTGTCACTCATTGACATTTGGAATTTGGTATCACCTTGAAATAATGTGTCAGTGGCTTCTTTTGGCAGGCATGTTGAAGTTTAGATAGATGTAGTGTGGCTGTTGCGCAGTCAACACCACTAGCTCTTGCAGCTGCCTCAGTTGCACCACTAGTGAAACAAAGAGGGACGATCCATTTTGTTTGCATGCTTGCATGTCAGATCGAAGCAGATTTCTGGACGTACTGAAGAAGCTACTAGTAACAAAGGGCATCTAGGAGCAAGGACGCTACTAGTAACTCCTGGCATTGCTAGTAGCAAAGGACGCTACTAGTAACAAATCTACTGTTGATGTCGGTGTCCGAATCCCTTCGATCAGGTTATAAGATGGCAGCGATGGCGGCAGCCCAGGCTGGGCAAGTTGGACAGCCACAGGTGCGGGCGCCAAATCCGACTGCGAAAGCGTTTGTTACTAGTAGCGTGGCACTTGTTTCTACTAGCTTCTTGTTACTACTAGTAAGGCACCTGTTACTACTAGTAAGGCACTTGCTACTAGTAGCGTGGCACTTG